TAGGGCCACATCTTTTTCTTTTAATATACATACTTGTGTATGTACCTAATCAACATGTCTTTAGTATTTATTTATATTTGCTTTTAAAGTAAATGGGGTCGTACTATATATATATTGTTGTAGAACATTATTTTTGTTTTTTTAATTTAAATTCACCTTGTCTTTAATGTTTTCTGTGTCGGTACAACCGCTGTATAATATCCCATAGACAGGATAGAACAACATTTAGTTCACCATTCTCCTGTCAGTGGACATACAGGTTGTTTTCAAGCTTTTCTGTTAAAACAATGCTAAACATTGTTGGACATCTTTAAGTACATGATATATAGGAAGACTATTCATTTTTGTATATTGTTTTTAGATTCCTTATGTCCCCTCAGATTAGTTATAATGGTTTTTTCGTTGATTCTTTGTTTTTTTTTAGGTAGAAAATCTTATTGACTGCAAATAGTAAAAATTTTATATTTTTCTTGTCATTATGTCTATCTCCATTTTGTGGCTTATTGTATAGATAGAATGTCAAGTGTAATGTTGATTAGTAGTAGTGATACTGGGACACAATTTTTCTTTATTGGTTTTAATGGTATTTCAGTCGCATGAGTAGATAGTTCTGTCAGGTTTCTCATGTACAAGTGAGGGCATTCATTGAGAAAGATGGAATCCTGAAACTTGGAATGGGAATATCTGATTGGACTCTGTCTTGAGCCCCTAAGTCACTGCCTTGCCAGTGGAATTAGACTGCCCCCATGTCTAAGAAGAGTAGTTCTTCTTTCCCTGAAAATTGTGTGATAACTTCATCTGAGGCAGATGCCTTGTAAAAGGATGATCGCTCTCTATTATGCTAAGCAAAATAAGCCAGTCAAAGACAAGTATCACATGATCTTACTCATACATGGAATCTAATGACATAAATATTAAGTAGTTTGATGAATATTTATGAATATTTGCTCCTCTAACCAGCACTCAGATGATATATAGAAAACATTTACAACATACCAAAAACCTCCCGCATGCTCCACTGCCGGTCAACAAACCAGCCCTCCCTCCAGGTGCAGCCAAGGTTCTGACTTCTATCACTGTAGAAAAGTGAGGTTTTTGAACTTTATATAAGTGATTTTATACAGCATTTACTGTTTTGTGTCCTGTAGAAGCCATGTTTTAATGCTCTTTCCAAATAGAAACTTGAGGAGAAGCTAGAGTTCTGGATGGAGAAATTTGACAAGGACACAGAAATGAAACAGAACGAACTGAATGCTCTCAAGTCTGCTAAGGCCAGTGACTTAGCGCATCTTCAAGACCTTGCAAAAACGGTAAGGAAGCCGAGTCCCAATAGGCCTGAGCCCCAAGGAGCAGGTGAGGCTAAGCTACAGTGCTATTTGTGGTCATAAAGTGAAGGTGTGCCTGTAAACCAATGGGATTCTATATATATATATATATATAAAATCTTCATTGATTTCAGAGAGAGGAAGAGAGAGGGAGAGAGACAGAAACATCAATGACGAGAGAGTCATTGATAGGCTGCCTCCTGCGTGCCCCCAACTGGGGATGGAGCCAGCATGTGCCCTGACGGAACCGCGATCTCCTGGATCCTAGGTCAGTGCTCAACCGCTAAGCCACACCCAGCTGGGCATGGCTACTATTTTTATGTGTATATTCTATTACAGCTTTTTAAAAAAATTAATTATTTTGAGGTCATTAATCACATGGTATTTTATTTTTATGAAATACATACTTTTTTTAATCCTTACCTGAGGACATTTTTTCCATTGATTTTTCAGAGAGAGTGGAAGGGGGAGAGAGAGAAACATTGATGTGAGAGAGACACATTGATTGGTTGCCTCCAGCACATGCCCAGACCAGGACCGGGGATCGAGCCTGCAACTGAGGTACGTGCCCTCGGCTGGAATCAAACCTGGGACACTTCAGTCCGCAGGCTGATGCTCTAACCAGTGAGCCAGACCAGCTAGGGCTTTATGAAATATTTTAAGGGAAATTTTTATTATTAAAAAAAAAAAAATGGGGACCCACAAAGTTAATATGTGAATATTTATAATATAGGAAAATCCAGTAAGTTTTTTCCCTTTGGTTTATCTTTAGTTTTGCCAAGCTTTGTCTTAAATTTTAAAATTGCAGGGCTGGCTGGGCCACAGCGTAGCCGGGAGGGTCCTGTGACATGGTTACTGTCTACTTTGCAGATAAGGGAGTACGAGCAGGTGATCATTGAAGACCGCATGGAAAAGGAGAAGAACAGGAAGCACGTGGAGCAGTCTCTCTTGGAGTTAAAGAGCGTCGTAAAGGTAGAAAGCAGAAGGCTTGTGGGGCCCCTTCAGTGCGCTAGCTGACCTGAAACGGAGGAGTGCGCAGTACTTCTCATTTGTTATCAGGCTCAGATCTGTGAGGAAACATGGCCTTTGTTGGTAGGCATCTGCCAACAATCCGTGGTGCAGGGAGACCAGTAACAGAAGACAAGCTCCCAGCTTTTAATCCAGGGGGAAAGGAGGTGCCTAGCAGGGGAAGCAAACCCGAGAATTTGTGCCCAGAGGTCAAATTTAAGGATACTATTTCTAACCAAAACAGCTCCTGAAGTAGTTCTAATATCCTACTGTTTCTGAAAATCCTATTTATAAGTTAGCCCAGGCTATCTGCCAGATTCTGACAAGAGCCGTGTTCAAAAAAGGTAGAGGGAATAAGTTTAGGGGGAAAAATTAGAGATGTTTTAGTTTTATATGAATTTCTGTATATTAGTGATGATTTAACTGGCAGGTCAGATTCTGGGAAATATCAAGCAAAAATAACATCAAGCTGGACTGAAACTGTTGTTTTGAAGATTGCCCTTGTCTCTGAAAGAGGAGTGCCTGCTGAGATGGAACAGTATGCAGACCGTAGCTAGGGATGTCTATTAGGGGGTGGGTTAAGAAAGTAAGCTTTAAAGTACATTTAGGACCTGGTAACCAAATCCAAACTTGAGCTTTCCATTAGGGGAGAGTCAGATATACAGTTAGCAAGTATTTATCGGGCTCCTATGGTGTTTTCTATTTATCAGGATTCCTCAGCTGAGAGCAGAAATCTTAAGAACTAGCAGAAGACCACCTGTTTTTTCACTAGTGGATTTGCTTCCAGTCTTTAGGGCTGAGTGTGATTTTTAAGTAGCCCAGACTGTATTCCAAACAGTTGTGTCTAATGACTAAGATATTCAAGGGAGTTATCTAAAGCTTACTATTTGAAAGTAAGAGGAGTATTGCTCTTTAGTCAATCATTAAAGATACGAAATGCACCCAGAAGTCTATTGAAATCATCTAGATTATCTGGACATTTTTGACCCCAGTGCTTGCTTTTGCCAGCGGCCCAGGTAACCAACAGCCCTCTTGAATCAAATGGTTGTTAGATATGGGAAAGGATGCTTGTAAAGAGCAGTAGTACAAGGGAGTCAGGTTTCTAAATGTAAAAGAAGAGATTGTTTTATTTTTACTCCTCGAGCACGTTACAGTTCATGGCTTAAGCTCTGGGTCCTGCACCACTGGGGAGCACTGCTGTAGGGAGAGCATGCTTGGCCATGCCCGTGTCTCAGGTCCATTCTTCGGATAGAAGTTACTTTATCAAAAAGCAGTCCCCTCATGTAGAAGAGAATGCAGCTTGTCAGGCATATAAATTGTACTCACTCCCCTCTCTCTTCCAGCTCCAGGCCTGGTGGCGAGGCACTGTAGTACGGAATGAAATTGGTGGTTTCAAAATGCCTAGGAAGGAGAAAGATGATAGCAAGGATTCAAAAGGTAAAGGCAAAGACAAGGACAAGAAGAGAGGCAAGAAGTAGTGACCAAGTATCTTCTGTCTTTCTCTCCTCTGGTATTCTGGAGATGGGAAGGACTTGAAGGGAATGAGAAACATCTATCACCACATGACTCATCTACAGGAAGCTTCTTATTTGGACATTCCAGGTGCAGCCTGGGAATTTCACTTTGCCTGTTCTGTTAGTTTTCAAACCCTGAACTGGGATTACAGCATCTATTTAGGGCTTCGTCATATTTTGAAAAACTTTGCTGGGAAGAAGTATTTCTAGGAGCCTTGAGAAGATTCCTTTTGTTCTTTCTTACCAGAAAAAAGTCCATGGGCTTAGTTACAGCAATGCATTAAAACTTCAGTAATTCCTGTAATATGTCTCTGGTTCTGATTTTGTTCAGTTGGTCAACAGTGAAAAAGCTCTTATGAGCAAAAGTGAAGTGTTCAGTAGGAATTACAAGATGATTTTTATAAAGTGTCCCGTGTAAGATACATATGTAGCAAAGTTTTATTAAAGTTGGTTCCTTCCTTCCTTTTAGATTTATCATCACTAGTGTTTTTATTGGGGGGTTGGTGGTGGCATGGAATACATATCTTATTATAAGCTGCTTCAGTTCCTTTTCTGGGAGATAGGTAGGGATATAAATTATATATGCAAGATAGAAATGAGATGTTAAGATAACCCGCACATGGTAAAGATGGAGGACACGGGTCCACTGGGAGACTAGTTTGGAGATATTTTTGGTAAGTGAGGCACTAGGTTCTATCCCTACTTTGCTTACTGAACTATTCTCGCCTTATGGGGTATTAAGACTAAAAGAGACAAAGCATGTGAAAACATCACCTGTGCTTGGAACATAAAGCTCACTGCTGGTGATTCTCTCTTCCCCTAAAAAGAATGAACCCGCTTGGTCATTCGTGCTTTGCTTAATCAAAATAGAATGTCTTGGGATGTTAAAGCTTTTCTGAAGGCACAACTGGTAGTTTCTGAGAGGAAAATTGTCCAAAAGTGTCACATATATTTAATCTATTAATAAATAAGCCTTATATCTAAGTCCAAATACAGGGCACTACTGATCTCCATACTTCCTATAAAACGTACATTCTGATCTCAAGGGCCTATTATGAGGACCCAGTTTCTCCTGACTTTGTTCCTTTGGGAAATTACTCTTTCATTTTTGCCGAGGAAACCATGCTTTAGGTAAGAACATTTTCAAATCACATTTATCTCATGCTATTGAAGTGTTGGCTTTTATTTTAATATGAAAGTGTAAGGTGGCATACAGGCAATTTAAAATAACATACATGATATTGACATATTTATACTTAGAACTTATGCATCATATTTACAGACATACAAATATAGGACAACGTTTCACAAAATCTTTTACTAATTACATGTTTACAACATTTTCTGAAATAAAATGGAATCTGCTGTAAACCATCTCACTGCAATATGTATATAAAAAGGCTTCTAAATATCCATGTTTTCCTTCATTTCTATAACCATTTAAGTGCTTAGTTTTTAAAAATTCATCACACTCATTAACATAGTCACACATCATTAGTCATTGCTGAGCCAGTAAGAGCAATCAGACTCCCTGATTAGCTGTAAGGCTGTATTTTAAAAAGTTATTAAAGAAAAGTGACCTAATAATAAGCCTCCTACTCTGTTCTAGCCAAATACAAAGGCCCCTCCTCCCATGAGCTGTTCCCAGAGAAAAATGGTTTGGAGTGCTAAGCACGCATGAGTCTGAAAGCCCAGAAGCCTGTTGACTTCAGTCTCTGTGGCTGGCAGGGGCCCTGGTGGGTGGGGCACAGCCTTTTCTTCCTTCACACTTCAGCCCTGGAAAAGCTGTTGCTTCAGTAGGAAGCTCATAAATAAATGGTTACGTGGAACTGTTACATAGTCATCTTCATCTTACAGTGGAGTCTACTAAGGCTAAATGTTAAACCTTTTCAGTTAAAAAAACAAAGGTACAACTTAAAAAATTGCACTTTACTAAAAGCAACTGAATTTTGTGACATGTAAATTATACCTCAATAAAGCTTTAAAAAAACAAGAAACAAAAAAAACTCCAAAGGTACATATAAAACACTGAGTACAAAAAAATTTCCAAAAACATCATGATTTGTTTTCCCACCTTGACATAGAAAAGAAATTCAATGTATTAGATATTTTCCTTTCATTATCAACCAAAACTGTACACCAATTTTTTCCTAGCAATTCAAATGTAAATTTGAATTAGTTTGACAAAAATACAATAATAAGGTTTCATGCTTTGTGTAAAATTTGAAGTTGAAATTTCCATTTATTCCTCTGGGAAAATTAGTTGCAAATGTTCCAAACGTTGCATTAAGTATGTCTTTTAGAATTATTCCTTGCATAATACATGACAGAGTCCTGTCTTGCCGAGTTTCATGCAAATAGCTCTATAATTTAGAGACAGTACTGAGGTTTAATGTTGACTAAAAGGAAAAATACCTATAGTTTAAAAATACACAGAGCTAAATTCTAAACAAGTTATATGATTGGTGGATGTGTTTGGAACTGTTAATATAATGGATCTGGCTCTAAGCACTTGTAAGACATTTTACTTTTGTTCTTTGAGGACCCTAAGCATTGGGCTTTGAATGTTTTGTGTTATATAATTTTAAACTTGGACAAAGCGGTAATGTTCTGATGAACTTGTTCCTTTGTGAGAACAAGTAGAAAACATTATTTTGACTAGGTACTCAACATGATTTTATCCAAAGTTACTTTTAGATGCTGCATTTATATGATCAAAAGAGCAAGACCATTATGTTCAAATGCATGCATTAGTAAAGAAAACCCAAAACAGTTAATAACAAAAAAAAAAACACCCTTAGTTAATTAGTATCTTCACTTACTCGCTTTACTTGGTTTATAAAGGCAGTGACCAAAACATATCACTAACAACTAAAAATGGTTCAAAACACAGGGGAAGAAAGATCCAAGAAGCTTAAAATTTTTCCCCCAAGAGGCTTAGATAAAGACTCCTGGCTTTCTGTTTCGGGAGACCGTGGCCCTTTTACTCCACACAACTGAGTGACCAGGCACTAGTGGCGGAGCTAGAGGAAAAGAGAGCAAGCTGTTTTCAAGATGCTGCAAGTGTTTTAACTCAGCCACAGGAACTGGCAGTTACCTGAAAGAAATATAAGACTTCTGGCTTCCCCTTTTGCTTTGTTTTCACAGTTGGGGAGCTGGAAGTGTATTGTGGGGACTGGAAGGTGTTGGCAGGCCCAGGTATCCTGGGAGCAGCATGGAGGACTCAATGCAGATGATGCTGAGTAGTGCATGTTACTAGCCTGAGGATTTGGACTGGAGTTGGGGGGAGGCCTAGGACACTGGCCTTAAATACAACTCTTTCATTGTTTTACTATGCAAAATCTAGGCCTTCTACATTGTTTTTGTTTCGCCTTGAACAAAAGATTTTTTTGTCCAAAAAAGCCAGTTCTATGTTATTTTTGTTTTGCCTTGGACAGAACAGTCCAAGTAGTCATAATATAGCTTTTGATTTTAAATGTGGCTGAAAAACACAGTGGAGTCATTCTTCCCCCAAAATCATACAAATATGTATCTTGGAACAGTGGTCTCCAATACATGAAATACCTGGGATGTTTGTTGAAATGCAGATACCCAGGCCTCACTCTAGGCCCTACTGAATGAGAACCTATATTTTAACAAATGCTCCAGGAGATTCTATGGAGCAACCAAGTTTAGAAACCAGTGGACTCTAAAGGTCTTGGAAACAGGTAAAGATAATAGCATGTCTGTGCCTTCAAGAGAGCTAAATATCCTCTGAGAAGATATTCTTTCTGGTATGTGGAAAAAAGTCTACTCTCTAGAAAAGCACAGCCAGGTTAGGCTTCAGTGTTGGTTCTCAGTAATGACAGGATTACGTTTCACTTGTGAAAACCAACCATGTCTTCAAAACAATTCAGCGGAAATGAATATAACCTCCCCTAAAATGGAGAAATGAAGCAAAATATTCCTGTTAGGAATCATGGAAACAGTCCCTTTTAAGAACACGTAAGGGCTGTTTAAGCAGACGACTGGCAGCAGCGATCACGTTGTCCTGTTCCGTTTTGGCCAGGCCAATGCCCAATGTGCTGGGGGTCCTTAAACAGCAGATAACTGGTGCTGCTGCTGCTGCTGCTTGGGTGGGGCAAGTTCCAGGAGAGCCTGGACGGTCACTGCAACCTGGCTCAAACCTTTCTCTTCTAAAATGTGGAGAGGCAAACATAATTGCTCCTGAAATGGGATAACGTGACATAAAAACAAACACAAAAGAAAATAGTATGAACATCACAGAACTGAAAAGAAAAAAAATAAGCATCTCTTCTCTCTCTCATAATAATCAACTGAGATATGAAAAGTCAGTAACCTGGGAAACTGACCTCTGTTAATATTAGGTACACAGATGATATCCGACACTATCACTTTATTAACACAACTAAAAGTACATATAGATCATTTTGAAAACTGGAAAACAGACAAGTTACATACACTTACACAGACAACAGAGGATAAACAGAATACTATGGAGTGAAAGCACCATCCTTCATCCCTGATAAATAAAAGAGCAATGCAGATCAGTAAAGCCAGGCAGGTGAAAACAGAAAAAATTACAAGTTATACCAGAAAGCTCTCAGCCTGACAGGTGTAACATTGTAGGATAAAGCACTTTGGAAAATACATGCCCTAGGAAAGCAAGATTGTTTCCTGCCATCACTCAGATGGCACTAGAGAGGGATGCCTGCTCTCTGCATTATAGTCCTGATTAGAAAATCAGGGTTCTCATACCAGGCAGGGATCATGGGAAGAAACTGGTGCATCCTTGAGATTTAGATGTATTTGAGAAACTTTCCCTACTTTGGGTAATTCATGGAAGGCCCAGTTTGAATTACTTAAAAATATGAATTACAGAATTATAAAAAAAGAAATTGTATTTGAGCCCTGGCCAGTGTGGCTCAGTTGAAGTGTCGCCCCCATACACCAGAAGGTGGTGGGTTCGATTCCTGCTCAAGGCACATGCCAGGTTTTGGGTTGAATCCCCGGTTGGGGGCGTGTGTGATGGGCAACCAATTGACATTTCCCTCTCTCTAAAATCAATTAAAAAACAAAAAGGTGGCCTTCCCTGGCCCCATAATAAAGAAATTGTACTTGAAAAAGTAAAGTACTTCATATCTTCCTGGTATTTAATGGATTAAATTATGCTGGAGAATTAGGATGTGAGTTTAGTGAGAGATAACTTAATTACCATATATTTTAAAACTTGCTTACATATTTGCTTAAGGAAGTTAAATACTTCTATCTTGTTTGCCTCATTAATTTGGTTAATCCTTTCTTGTAAAAGAAAAAGGCTTATGTTAAGAATAACACCTATCACTGGTTTCTCTTTTAAGACTAAATATTCAGAAAGAAAAGAGACTGCTCTCACGAAGGAAAGAAGGTGGAATTCTGGTTTCATTAAAAGAATAGACAAATACAAACATACATATTTATTAAAGAAGATAACTGGACTTTTCTCAGCTTTTCACAGGCACTTACTATATTATTAGGAAGTTTTATAAAATCAGTTGCAATAAAAAATATAGCAAGTATTTATTTTGAGCAGTTATTGGTGGTTGTAATTCTTTTTTTAAAAAAATACTTACCTGATAAAACAAGCAAACTGCAATCTTTTGCTCTTTTAAAATGATCAACTTTGTATACATACTTTGAGTACAACTGCAAGTATAGGTTAACTATACTTAAAGTGAACTTTCAGGAGTTTTGCTCTCGGGAGAAACCTATTTTCTCCGAGGCCAGTTCCCTGAGTTTTTCTCAGTAGTGCCCCCGCAGCCTGTGTGGCCTGTGACTGAGACATGTCCTTAGAGGCCATGCTTTCCAGATGCACAGCTACCTTCCAGCTGGTTTAGAGAACCTGTGTGTTCTGAAAGAATGCATAATTAATCCCCCGAAACCACACATGAGATAATGTGTTTATCAGGTGTTTTTTTAAAGGAACAAAACTCCACAAAATTGAATGATCTCTGACTCAGAAACACCCCACCCCTTACTCTGGAAGGCACTATTACTGTATAAAACTAAAGTTTTCAACACAGTATTCAAATTTTCAGCATTAACAGTAAATAGTTTTAATGTGGTGTAACTGTCTCGTTTAATACTGAAGAAACTGAAAGCAATCAGACCTCCAGGCTGACTTCTACAACAGGGTGATACAGTCCTTGCAGTCTCCCTTTATACTAGAGTTCAGTTGTCCAATTTTGTTAACAGAGTTAGGGAGATTCCTGAATGTTCAGAAACACTATTTATGAGAACTAGAATCTGCAACTGTAAGTAGTTGCATGCATTAAGGCTAGCAGCTAATATACTAATAAGCATTCTGAAAGCGACAATACTCACTGCCTTGGGGACACAACAGAGACTGCTGCCTAATACCTTCCCTGCTCCTGTTCAGATATAATCACCTCGACAGCCTATAAAATACAAGTTCATCTATCAAGATGGTTCAAATATATTGGGAATTACATGAATTCCATTTTTAAATTCCCAGTAGGATTCTAGAAGTGAAGCTCAATTAAAGATAAACACACAGTAAACCTGGACAGCTGCCTACCCCTGCAAAGTCAGATCCAGATCACTTGCTCATTGTATGTTGTTTTAAATGTACACACTAACTAGGCTCAGGATAGCAATTTAGAGAACCACCTGATCTTTGGGCTGAACATTCTGATCAAATTAAAATTATTAAGATTAAGTGACTAGTACCTTCCAGATGCCCAGACAGCCAAAAGGGAGATTTCAGGACACAGTTCAATGTAGAGATTTACATGACCACATGCCCCCTAAACCAGAAAGGATACAACTATTTTCCTTATGAGCAGCTTGAAAAGGTTCAGCAACTTACAATTTCAACACTTAAGTTGTGTTCAGGCAAGGCAAAATGGCCAGATGGGAATTTTATTATGTCATTTAGAAAAAAAGGTCTTAGTCATATTCTACGAACGGGCTCAGGACTGTTTCAGTAGAAACACTTCAGCACTTAACAGAAACAAGGCCACGGGTCAGGAGAATGGACGAATGACCAGGAGAAAAATGCCGGTCTCTTTGTTAGTCTCCATAAACGCTTAGATGGGCTGCTCATCACGACATATGAGGAAAGGATTTATCTACTTTAAGTGTTAGCTCTTTGATGGCCAGGGGGGAAAAAAGCACATATGTAAATACTTCTGAACAAGAAACAAACCTCCTTTACCAAGCCCAGGAATAAGGTGAAAAACCAGTAGAATGCAATCTTTCTGCTAGAGGGGAAAGGTCCAATAATAAAGCATACATAGCGTTAACATTACAGTACAATAAAATGCCACAAAACCCAAAAGCTGGATAGACAGAGAGACAAAACTGGATTCTTCTGAATGTGCCCCAAAAGAAAGTAGTGTTTCAACAGTTCTTTTAACGCTGAGGTTTAGCTGAAGGATGTCAGAAGGGGAACAAAGACTGTCCTGTCCAAAGTGTGAGCAGGAAAGGAAAGAGAAAAACAAAGTCAGTGGATCAGAAATACAGATTTGAGTATAGAATTCAATATGGTCATCTCAATCATAGTCACTGAAACATATAACACTTTTTACTATGATGAATGAAAATAAAATGCTGAAAAAACAAAACTAGAAAGACTCCTCTGTGTGCTGATCTTGATTTACTATAAAATAGCAGAATACAACTGGCTGGCTGGTGACTAGTGTGAACGTTCAGGATACAGTGAGTAGAACTGGATGCTGGCTGAGGGTTGCGTGAAGCCTGAGAGTGATGAGGTCTGCGGGGGGGAGGCTCTTTCTCACCTCTCTTCCTTCCTTAGCAACAAAAAAAGAACAGGCCAGAAAGCGAGGACAAAACCTGGGGGCAGGCTGAGGAGAGGGACGTTTTCAGAGAAAGCCAGGGAAATCGAGAGGGTTCAAAAAAGGAGGAAAGCCTAATAACCAGAGAAATTCACTAGCGGCAGTCGGGTGTACTGAATGGCTTGGTATTCCTCTAAAAACCAAGTCAGCTCACTAATATGTGCAAAGTGAATCTACCCAAACCCTCCAGTTCATAGATGAAGAAATTAGATAAATGATCATTGGACTTGCTAGCGGGAAAATACAGAATACATAACATATAATAATTTAGGACATACAATATTGAAGCCACATAGAAATTTTTATCACCCACTCTAGTTTCCCAAATGTATCACTGAATAAACAGAATCACCCACATGCTGTCCTATCCACGGTTTCCAATAGTCACCTTATTCTTTAACAGTTTCATTTGCAACTTACATTGTAAACACTTCAGAAGTTATACTGAGAGGGGAAACTGTCTGCCTTTATGCACAGATCTGATATTAATATTTACAATATTAAATTTTACATTATACAATTTCAAAAGTGATCATTTTTACATCCCTGATTTTTTTTACAAGTCCAACAGATCAAGTGGGGATGTCTGGTAATTCAGAGCAGGGCGCCCAGGGCAGGGGAGAGCAATGTCTCCTTAGTAGAGGGACCTGAGAATGCTAGTTTGAACCTACGAGTTTGTGTATTTATTCATTTTCCTTCACTTTGTTCTAAGCAAATGGCTAATTTTTTAGCAGAAGTAGCCGCATAACAGGAACCCAACTAAAAGTGGTGGCGGCGGTGGCGAGGAGAGGCAGAGGAGAGGAAGAGGTGGCCTGCGGGGACTGTCCATTTCCCCTTCTGGTGGGGAAGAGGGAGGAGGAGGGAGGATGTGCCAAGAGCCCGCCTAACCGCCAGTCTTGAAATTCTACTGCTTCCTACCTTCTGGCTTCAAGTGGCACAGCTCTGACAGCCCAGGGGCAAGCTGGCCCACAGTACACACTGTTCACCACTGCCTGGCAGATGCTGAGCTAAATGCAGGCTCTGAGGCACTTTGTTCCTGTATTTCACTGACCGATGGCAGCTACATTCCGAAAGAACTTGTGTGCGCTTTACACCTGAGATAAGTGACGGTCCCTAAAGCTCAGAGTGCAGGTACCACGATGAGAAACACTGGTAAACACAGTGCTTTCAACAGGTTTGACACACGCTAATTCTACTAATATGTCTTGCTGTTTGGGCTGTTTTGCGCACTCCTCTGTGTATGCAGTGACTCTTTTCAATCTCTCATATCTTTTTGGTTGGCTGCCATTTGCTGCACCGACCAATGCCACATTCTTTTGTTCAGGACATGGTGGTATAGAAGCGGGCAGGTACTGGGCATGCTTGTGTAATGACGACCTGGTAGGAACATCTTCAATACACAAACGGGAAGCACCAAATGTTAATGTGAACATATGAATATTAGAGCCTGCTTGTAAATATGGAGAAAATTGTTTAGAAAACTAGATCTTTGTTTAGAAAACTTCTCAATACTCTCTTAATATGTTTAAAAATGGTTTGTTCTAAAAGAGATGATGAGCCTTTAGAAGACTATATGATATAAAAATGAAAAAAAATTTCTGGATTTGTTCATAGGAACAATTAAAGGGTCCTTGCTAACTATCATTAAATGTAAATTTCAATTCTTTTATAATTCAGCTTTTTAAAAAACCACAAAATAAAAAAGTAAAAAATAAATAGAATCATGATCTACTTAATAAAAGGAGGGAAAAAACCACCATAGGAATTCACGGTGACTAATGCAGACACTCTATAGAGCTAGGCTCTTTCACTTCTATTCGCAATGTGGGAAAGAGCTGAAAGAAAATTGCTCATTGGACAAGTGATGCTGTGACCTTCTCAAGTCATGGTTAGTTAAGAGCCAGGAATGGTGAACCAGATAAAAAGAGTCACTGTCGTGAAAGCTATTAGGAAAAGGGCTTAACTTCAAGAGAAATAGTGGAATCGTTGAGTCCAGGGGCCAATACAGGGTTTCTGACAGCTAATTAAGGAGATAGAAGAATCGTGTTTCTCTCTTTGAAGGTTAGACAAATATGATGACAGGAACTGTAAAGGTTGTGATTAATGAAAAAAAAAAAATTCAAATGTCACCAGGTTGTTTATTTCTTTAAATTTAATTTCATTAAATACGATATTTTTTAAGAGTACCATGCTTAGTTGGTTTAACATAATTGTTTTTTAAAAGAGTAAATGAATAAAAAGTGTATCAAGTTCATGTCCTTAATCACATCTATAATTTTCTGTACTATTAAAGGGCAATAAAGCTGTAACTGAGGAAGTCGGAGGCAATAAATCTCAACAGCAGGACATGCGCCTACAAAGGGCTTCTTGGGTGCTAAATTCTAAAGTATGAGACCTTGGTGGAAAAACTGCTTAAATGTGAACCAAGACTGTAATTTAGTTAACAGCACTGACCCAGAGTTTGTTAGTCTGGATGATATACTATGTTTATATAGATGTTAACAGTAGAAGAACCTGGGTGAAATGTACACAATAACTCTGATATTTTTGCAACATTTCTCTAAGTCTAAAATTATTTCAAAATAAACATGTAAAAAAATTACTAAAGCAACTGTAAAAAACCCTGAAACCCACTGAAGCATTCTCAATCTGAGATGCACTTATTTTGAAGCACAGACTCTATTGTGTATGAAGATGTATTACAAGTCAAAGAGCAAGTGGGAATGTTTAGGAAAACATAACAACTATTTTTGATTACTTAGCATTGTTACTACAATATATTTAAATTTATATGTGTATGATTTCTTTGCTTGGTTTTTGGGAATAATTAAGGAAAACTGTTCAAAAGTATATTGATCGCCTCAAATTAGTAATGATCAACTTAGTTCAGAGCTAGAACCTTAGTTTAGTAAGGTTACAGATATTTGCATTTCTGAAAGATTTTAGGAAAGTAAAACCCAAGTCTATTTAGACAATATAAAAAAAGATAAATTTATTACCTGAGGTACACCAATTTTTCTGCAAGCTTCTAGAAAATTCTCCACATTTCGCCTGCATTTTGCTATTGTTAATTTAGGCTGCGAAGGAAAAAAAATGTGATGTTACTAGCAAAGTTTTAAAATTTTTGTTAACTTTAAAAATATTCTTGCCAGTTGCTTTATAAACTCAATGCTCTAGATCAGAGTCAGCAAACTTTTTCTTAAAGGATCAAATAAGTATGTTAGTCTTGAAGGCCATATGATCTGTTGCAACTACTCAATTCTGCTAATAGCCTGAAAGTAACATATATAAACAAGTAAGTGGAACTGTGTTCCAATAAAACTTTATTTACAAAAATAGCTGGCCTTTGGCTTACCTCTCTAAATACATCTCCTGCCATTTGTACCCACACCTTGTGCAGGATCTATTCTGAACAATTTAAAGTTCCTTGAATGTGCCATGATCTTCCTATCTTTCAAATCTAGGAATACTATGCCAGAATTCCTACAATTTTACCTCTTCTGGGAGGGCTTTCCTGAATTCTCCAGGGAGAAGTGGTCCATTTTTTGAACTCTGATAGCACACCTCTTACACACCTTTCTTCTAACATTTATCACAGTGCTGGAAGTCATTGTCTATGTGCCTATTTTTTTTCCCTAGTAGAAGTGAAAGGAAGGCAGGGACTGCACTATTCATATTTTTATCTCTAGCAGTCTACAATATGTCTGCCATTGTACTTAATATACGTTTGATAAACAGCCAACATTTTTTAACATTATAAACTTACTACAGCTGGTGAAGGAACGTGAATACTTGGGACAGATCGAGGCCACACATGATTGGCCAAATGGCAAAGAACCACCCCATCAGTTAGAGCTGCTCCAAGATCACAAGGCAGAGATACTTTCAACCGGTACTCAATATGCTAAAAGAACAGGAAAACATGTAATATATTAACTGAAGAGTGTCTGACACATAGGACATGACGGAGTTACAATGGAATCTATTTAATTAGAAATCAGGGTAAGACACAAATGACTTAAATGTCTATAATCCCTATTTTATCGTCCATCTTGTCCACAGGTTAAGGAGATCACTTACATCACATGGCAGGCTGCAGTGGTGCAAAATAAAACGGGACAAGGTCATTTATCATTTCCTGATTAAAAAACAACTAGATTCTCCTTTAACTCCAAAATAAACACTATATATGATATGCGATATGTATAAGTACATACATATAAATTATTAGTGTTATAAAAATTCTTTACATGAGGGAGAAAAAATTGTTTAAATGACTAGGTCCAGGGCTTGAGCTTTATAGAATAACCCATCTCATTTTCCTAGTAAACAGCTGAAAAGAATTTTCTTAATAGCAAAATTTCTTTTACATTCATCACACAATGGGCACTTCTTTACTCTATTAAAAATTTTAAGTCACGTAAACAAGGGATTGCAGGATTATGGGCTACAGCAGTATCAATGAAAAAGTGTAATTTCAAGGTAATGTACACACTTTCCGTAGCTGCTCTATTGATTCCAGTTCTTCTTCTCTCTGCCTTGAATTCTGTCTTGTTATGGGATCTGTAGAATCAGTGGTAGGTTCAGAAGATGAAAGAAGGGGTGAAGCATGACCTAAAAAAACATTAATATATAAGACAGAAAGGTGATTTGCCAGTATTGGAAAAATACTCTGATCCACCTGATCACACTTTCCTTGAAAGTAGAGCACTTTCTATTTTTGCAATAACTCTTTAAAAATTTTTTTATTATGCTAATTTTAAAATATACAAAATCAAAGTGAGAATAGTATAAAAAACCCAACAAATGTCCATTAACCATTTGGCTCAACTACTTTTGTTTAATCACATCCACTTCGTGTTTTTATTGAAAAAACAACACACATACAGAAAATGACACATAAATCATAAGTGAACAGCACAATGAATCATCTTCACAAAGTGGACACGACCAGGTCAATAAATGCAACATTACCAACACCCAGAAGCTCCTTTCAAGCTCTCTACCTATCAGCACCCAAAGGTTGGTTCTAACACCACAGGTGCTAACCATGTACTTCCTGAATCCTAACACCAGAGCAGTTTTGTCCATTTTTGAACTTTCTATAAATGAAACCATATTTACGTGTCCATGCTTTTGTGTCTGCCTTCTTTTGATCTGTAAGAACTGTCCATGTTGTGTATGTTAATTTGATGATTTTCATGGCTTATACAGCATCTCACTGTATATACACCACAATTTTGTATCCGTTCTATCACTGCTAGATATTCAGTTCAGGGCTATTATGAATAATGTTGCTATGAATATTTTTGTACATATCTTTTGGTATACTTGTGTACATGTTTCAGAAGGCAAAATTGCTAGTCATAGGCTATATAAATGTTCAACATTAGTAGATAATATTGTTTTCCATACTAATCTACAATCCTATCAGCAGTAGGTCTCCAGTTTGATTTTAACTCTCACTGCAAGTCCAACTATCAGTTACATTAAAAGTAATTTTGGACTTGAAATGTTTGTTTTTAATTCCAGGTAGTAACTTCTTTTGGGACCAGGCAGAAATTTTTCACATTAACGAAAAAAAAAAAAATGAGACTAGATTAAAAAAAATACTGATTCATTTCTTTAAGAACACAGAAAACAGCTTTTATCAACAGAAAAATCTGAAAGAGAGCTCACTATAGAGAAAAGGAACATTCTGTAAAGCCCTAAGAGTATCTTATTTGTTCAAACACTAATAACCTGTTTTAGGTGGTACAAGAAACATTTTTTTTTAAATTTGTTTATTTTATAGAGAGGAAGGGAGAAAGGGAAAGAGGAGGGGTAGGAGAGGGAGGGAGGGGAGAGAGGGAGAAATATCAGTTTGTTGTTCCACTTATTTATGCATCATTGGTTGATTCTTGTGTGTGCCCTGACCTGGGAACAAACCAGCAACCTTAGTGTACTGGGATGATGTTCTAAACAACTGAGCTACCCGGTCAGGATTAAGAAACTTTCTAATTCAAACAAATTCAGACCCTGGCTGGTGTGGCTCGGCTGACTGGAGCATCATCCTGTATACCAAAAAGGTGGTGGGTTCGATCCCTGGTCAGTCGGTGTGCATGTGCGAAGCAACTGATCAATGTTTCTCTCTCTCTGTCTCTCCCTTCCTCTCTCAAAAAATCAATTAAAAAAAATTAAAACAATAACAACAAATTCAAACAAGACTCTCCTCCTTTAATGTCAATGAGATGACAGGTAAATGCAGAGCTTAAAGCTTTTGCCAAGGTGACATCTTAGGTTAGAAGTTTAAAAGCATGTAACAGTTAATGTAATTGTATAAAGGCTCCCCTCCTCCCCCTTTTAGTCACTACCTCCTACCTTTATTTGTTTCTGCCCTGACACCTGCTCGGAATAGGAAGCTTTCAGGGCGCTGGGGCTGGTTTCTCTGGATAGCAGCAGGGAAATATGCAGGGGAATGATGAACTAAATTGGCACAGAAATTAAATTAGATGAAAAGAGATGGAAAATCATTAAATACGTAACAGACACATGTCCCAAAAGTTCAATAAATGGAAAATAAAGAAAAAATCAAATTAAACATGGCAATGATATAAAAGGATAGTAATTTTGTTAATACAAAGTAACCCTGACAGCAGGAAGGCAGCTTGTGTGTATCTTTGTCATGTTATTTTTGGTATATCAATATAGAATGTTAATATACTGAATATAGTCTCTTGCAAACCTATAGCACTGCTAGCTCATGCTCATTTGTTCATATCAAAAGGCTGAATAGTTGAACCATCAGTTGAATTAAAAAACTGAAAATGTGCAGAAAGTTCCCAATTTTGTGTCTGATTTCTCATCTCAGAAAAGGAAGCCACAGTTCTCTAAGAGGTAATTTATCAGCCAGGTGGGTACTTGAAATATTCAGGACGGGGGCACCACTTTGTAAAGTATATGATTGTACACCTGAAACTAATTAAAAATAATATTGAATGTAAACTGTAATTGAAGAAAAAAGTACTTTTATCAGGAAAATCCTAGTAAAGAATTATAATCTTGATGTGGTAAATTACACCTTTGTCTCTATTACCTGTTTCCGTTGTAGGTGAACTTGATACAGCATTAGATCTGTCATCACTCTGTGGAGAGAGAGACATAAATAATAATTATTCAAGAAGAGCTACTCCCCACATTTATGGAAACGGAATTATAAAAGAAAAAAACCATGCACCTCTCCTTCAAAATTAAGTCTAGAAATGAAAATTTGGCCTAATGAATTAATTTTATATGTTTTTTACACGGAAAAGAACAGGCACATGATCTTAGCCAAAAGGCCGAGAAACAATTATATGTTTTTTTAAGGCCAAATTTATTTAGTTTTATAGAAAACAAGGTTTACTGCATTCTCTAAAGACAGTCCTATTATATAACAAGCTTTTCCTATGATTATGAAAAAAGATGATCCTTTAATGGGAAATGTATGGAAAAAATAACACTTTATAATAGTATCCTTCTGGTATAGTTTCTAAATTTCCGACCCCTTTACAGAATACAATTTAATGTGTTAGGAAAGAGTGATGAAGATTTTTCATTTCAGTTGGGAAAGGTGTTTAAATATTATAGATAGCTGATTTCCAAACTAGTATTTTAATCCAAGGTGTTTTTAATTCATAGAACAAAGGAACTATAAAAAGGAGGAAGAGATAGGTCAACTGTATAAAGTTTACCTAAATAAAGGAAAATGTAATTGAGCTAATTTAAAAAGAAATACCAGTTGGCTGAGTTAAAGATGTTGAAGACTTGGCAGGGGAACAGAATCAAGAAAAGCTAGAAAAACAAGTTTTCAGGCCTTGCCATCTAATTATACTCAATAATTTAAATATAACTTTATGATAACTATGACACATTTTTTAACAGAATGACTTTAAAACACACACATATCTGCTCCCATGTTTCTTCTCCTTTTTGGTTTCAATATTTTCAGGAATCTTTGATTTCTAATTGGAGTTGGGTGATTAAACTGGAATTTTAACTGCTAAAATAAACGAATACATAAATAGAAACCAAGCTGTTGAGTAAATTGTTGGACTGATCTGGAAGACAATTTTGTGGTAATTATTCCTTGGTTTGATACTCTTAGTCTGAGAATTAAGACTTAAAAAGCAAGCTGCATTCTTGAGTAAAGTAATGTACGACATCTTCATTAGTGAAAACGACAACATGTTCATCAAGTTTATAGATGGCAATAAACTCAACTTAGAATGTTGAGGGAGAAATGGAATTTAAATAAGTAAATTTAATTTAAAATAACAGGAACTAGTAGAAGAAATGAAGAAGCAAATGAGGCAAAAGTTAGATTTCTTTATAAGGAATTGAAAGACTATCCTATTTTCAAAAAAAATGAGATAGGAAGGAGAAAGCTAGTTAGCTAAACAGAGGCCCCGTTCAAGGACAAATGGCACAAATAGAAAAACAAAGAGGAAAAATATTTTTTAAAAATTTAAAAAGACTTATTAGTAGGAGTTAGGCTAAGGAATAAAATGATTAAGTTAATAAGCAACTTTATTAGATGAGAGAAGGAAGGGCTGAAAAAAATTCCACTGAATGGCAGGAAATGTTTTCTACCTCCCCAAACACCAAAAGACAATACACAGTTGGGTATAATGAAAAACAAAGCTAGAATAGAGGAAACTTGTAAAATGACGATTTTTAAAATGTACTATTAAAACTATTAAAACTATAAATCTAAGTGACTTGCATTCTAGGATACTAAAGCAATTAGTTCAGGTCACTTGTAAGCTGCTGACTAAATCTGAGAACTCTTGGGGAACTGAAGAGCAAAAAAAGGAAATTTACATAAACTCAACTTTTATGCCTGGTTAAGCAACAAAAAAATAAAATCATGCCTAAATATAGTATACACCTTCTGTAAAATAACTGGATATCAAAAAGTAAAGACTAAATCTTTTAAAACTAATCATCTGACAATGAGCATGTCTGACAGAAAGGTAGATGTTAGATGGGCCAGGTGCAGAAACCCAGGTATAGAAATCCGGATACAGAGACGCACCAGGGCAGGAAGCCCTGGGTGCTTAGCAAGGGGAGAAACTGGGAGAGCAAGAACCTCGTTCCCAGGCTAATCTCTCCTCCCCAGCATATCGCTGGTCTTGCGGTTTAGACCCCCTGGGTGTTCCTCCCTTAAGATTACATCTAGGCCTCAGTTGTATTTCTGCTCCAGGCCAGAAAAGCAGCAATACCAGACAGGTGGTGCCCTGGCTGCCTCAGGACCACATACACTGACTAATGACCCCTGGCAGTGCAGACCACAACCCTGAAAAAGCACACCTGGAAAGCTGATGAATATTCTAGTGAGACATTCCCCTGAGATCTCTCCTAAGATTCCTACCTGCAAGAAAGAGATACATAAGCTCAGGACAAAGGGCCCAGCATGCACTTCACACCAGGGGAGCACGCCAGCACCATCTCCATCCCTCTGAGGGGACCCCAGTAGACTTGCACCCAGGGGGGCAATGGGCAGCAGCAGCTCATCCAGGGCTTACTCCCCGAACCTGCCTCCACGGCCCCCTTCTCTCTCTGACTTCTCAGGGAGCCAAAGCAGCCCAGCCCGGGCTCTCCTGTTGCTTCCTCTATGCCCTTCCTTGTTTCACTGTCCCAAGTCTGCCATCATGGACACAATACCCTTTGGTTCAGTGCTGTGAAGCCCTTCCCTTTGGGTACCCCATCCCTTTTAACAAATTTAATTTTTCTTTACTTATACATCTGAGATGGCTATTTAGTCTGCCAGCACACCACCCACATTAACCTTTCATTAGACTTATCACACAATTTTTGGCACATTCACATCTGGCCTTTCTTAACTATGATTCTTGGTAGAATAAGCTCCAATAACTAAAAGATTTGAGAATTATAGTAGATACTGAGCAAATGAGTATCAAAACAAAAAGAGCCAGCCTAATCTCTGTAAGGCATGTGAAAAACCCATGTTTCATGCTTAGCACCAGGCGAGCTCTAATGGGGGATATACTTGTAGCTGAGGACTGTGGAGCTAAAATGGAAGGCAGAGAACCTGTGAAAGTTCATACGGACTGACAGGCTGGGAAAGGCATGTAAAAGAGTCAGAGTTTATTTAGGGAGAAGACAAGGGTGGCATTGCAATAGTTTTCAAATATAAAGATTCTTACATAAAGACTGCTATTTACTAGAAAATTTCTACTCTGGAAAGAAAGGAAGAAATAAGTATAAACCACAGAACAGACAGGAGAAAAGGAGAAGTTAGAAAAGGAGAGGATCTTCTTGACAGTGAAGATTATTAATCATTTCTTATGTATGATATGATAACAAAGATGGAACTACCATGCCTAGAGGCCTTTAAAAAATAATATGCTAAACACAAAAGCAGCTACAGACAACACATAAACAAGTGGGAGTGGCTGTGTACCAGCAAAACTGCCAAAACAGACGTCCTATGAGCGATAGCTTGCTGACACCTACCGTAGAGGGGTTTGGCAGTAACAGTTTGAGGACTGGGACTCAAATTACTTTGCATGTACATTAGCTATCAGAGTAAATGTGATATTACATATCAGTCAAAATAAAATAACTCTTAACAAGAGAATAACCACTGATAAGAAAATTAGAAATGACATTTCAATCAGAATCTGAATATAAAGAATTAACACAGGCTTTATGACTGTTTCCGGAATGATAAAACTTTCAAAAAATTTCAAGTGAAATTAATGTTAAACTCAAATAGTTTTATAAAAACTTAGGTACATTTCATGCAATCCTTGCAGATAGACCAATCCATTAAAACCTCCACTACACCCCCCCTCCCCAATGTTCTGGTGAATCACAGTAACAAAAGATACCTTAAGAGGAGTGAAGGCAGAAGAATGAGGCAGGGTACCAGGACAGCCCACTTGATTCAACCCTGACAGCGACTAAATTTCAAAAGAGAAAGAGAAGAAACAGAAGCAAGATTTATGTTAGCAAATGTCAGGCAGGCCCCGGCAGGTGTGCTCATCAGTTGGCTGGGCATCGTCTGTGCACTAAAGGGGGGCAGGCTGATTCCTGTCAGGCACACGCCCCAGCTGTGGGCTCGGTCCCTAGTGGGGGGGGGGTGCAGGAGGCAGCCAATACATCGATGTCTCGCTCTCCCTTCCTCTCTCTCTAAAAATCAATTAAAAAAAAAATCTTTAAAAAAAATGTCAGGCAGGCAGGCAAGCAGATTTGGTCAGTAAAATTAGAAAAGGAAAGGTCATTGACAAACTCACAAATGGTTTACTAAGATATCAGTAGGGCAGAAAGACAATGTTTTGGGGGGTAAAACATCATTTACGAAAGTTTTCCACCTGAATAATTAAACTATTTCAATACCTCATGCCACATAAAGAAATGAAAGGCATGACTTATTAAAAACAATTCTACTTAGAAATAAAACTGAGGTCATTTTTAAGAAAGCAAAATAGCCTCAAAACTAATGAGTCTTGTGTTATTCCTATGACACAAGAAAAAAATCCAAAGAGCTCATTTTAACTGAGCAAAATCAGCATGAAGAACAATATTTTTTCAATATTAATCCAAATTACTTTTATATAGTTCAATTTAATAGCTCCCATCTAAGAAGACAGAACATCAGAATTCTGCATCACACCTTAAGGATGAAACAGCATTTCATTTCTGCCTCTGAGCAAGTCCTTTCCTTTAAATCCTTTATGCATCCACCAACCTACATACAACTAATTAGATATATTAGAGGCAATGTTAGTATTTATTGTATACGATTTTGATTACAGATAAAAGCTGCTCAAAACATGACAATTTTTTCATTTGATGGGAGACAGAAATCAGAGAACACAGGACTTTCACAAAGGGTGTTGGATAAGACTGTGTCTCTTAAAACAACAAAATGCCAAAGGCTTAACAATATGAAAGGCTTTATTAGTTAAATAATTTTAAGAAATTTAAGTTAGGGTTACAAACTATCTGACTCAAGGGATAGACGAACAAGAATACATGTGGGTGTTTAGAAAAAAGGTGTGTGTAGGTAGTCAGTAAAACAAATACAACTATTTTTAAAGAGAGCTGATAGATAGCAATGTCTCCCCCCACCCCACCCCAAAGCATGTAACACACAGTGCAACAAAACCTATTTTAAGGCAGAAAAAATTGAAGAAATGTACCAAAGAACAAGACTGTGACAACAGCAATACAATGTGTATACTATACTGGTTAAGGTTTCCTGGGCCTCCTTATAATAGAATGTACTGGAATTACTGTCAATTTCAAATATAAAAGGCCTAAAAGCCACAATGTTGGCAAAGAAGGAAAAAAGGAATGGAGGGAAGAGAAAGTATCTAGAGATGGGGTACAGATGCAGACGGAACACAGATGAAAGCAATAGCCCAGCCGGTGGCTCAGTGGTTGAGGGTCCACCCATGAACCAAGAGGTCCCTGGTTATATTCCTGCTCAGGGCACATGCTTGGGATGTGGGCTCAATTCCCAGTAGGGGGCATGCAGGAGGCAGCCGATCAATGATGTTTCTCTCTCACTGATGTTTCTATCTCTTTATCCCTCTCCTTTCCTCTCATAAAATCAATAAAAACATATTTTTTAAAAAAGAGAAAGCGCCCGGCCGGGTGTGGCTCAGCAGTTGAGCATCGGCCTAGGATCCAGGAGATCGCAGTTCGATTCCCGGTCAGGGCACATGCCTGGGTTGCAGGCTCGATCCCTAGTGTGGGGTGTGCAGGAGGCAGCCGATCAATGACTCTCTCATCATTGATGTTTCTATCTCCCTACCCCGTCCTCTCTCTGAAATCAATAAAAAAGATGTATTTTAAAATAGAGAGAAAGCAACAGAAACCTGAAGAGCAGCCCTAAGAGAATATTAGTACAACTGATACTAAATATCACTAATACTTATTTCAAAATTTATATTTCAAGTTTTTTAAATCAAATTCAACATTTACTTTGCTGTATCATCAGACCTTTTCATCATGAAACAATTTAATGAACATTATTAGAAGCAGAGCATTTATGGGTTCATTTAGGAAATATTTATTGAGCACCTACTATATCCCAAGAACTATGATAGGGAGTGAGTATACATACGTAAATGCAACAGAGAATATCCCTGGACCCATGAAGCTTACAGTTTAGTAGTCTACTAAGGGAGAGATATAAAATAATAAAGACCTACCTAAAAGTAAGTACTACGAAAAAATTAATAATAGAGGCATAAGCTTCATTTCGGGGTGGAGATTTACAGAAAAGTCATTTTAAAGATGTGACATCTGAACTGACACCAGGTAGATGAGTAGGAACTAACCAAGGGGTACATGCTGGGAAGGAGAGGCATTCCATGCAGAGGGAACAGCATTTGCAAAGGTCATAGGTAGGAAAGGGCTTGTCAGATTTGAAAAGCTGAAAACTGATAGTACAGCATGAACCCAAAGATGAGATACACAGTACCCAGAATATACAAGAGCTTATAGTCCATGTTAAGAAGTTTGGATTTTATTCTAAGGAGTTTGTGGACCGCGTTAAAAAATATGGACTTTATTTTACCATACGAAGCCACTGAAGAGCAGTTTTGGGAGGATCAAAGGTAGTATTTAAAACGCTGACTTTTCTGCAGTGTTGGACATGACTTGGCACACAAAAATGTTAGACATGGCCCTTGCCTTTAAAAAAAAAAAAAACACACAAGAGAACAAATCCATTTTATTTATTTGCTTTTACACAGATTCTGTGTTCAATGGCCTTAGCAAGAAGGTTGCTTCGGAATTTAGCACAAACCATGCCACTATTTTCATGAGCATGAGTTACCTTTCCCCAGATTATTCTGGTTTTGTTCAGTTTGCCACCTGGAGTCACTGTGTTGTTCTTTGCTTTATACACATAAGTACATCTTTTGCCTAGATAGCATTGTTTCACCTCAAGCATAAACACCTTCAATTTTTTAATAATGTTTTTACTGATTTTCAGAGAGAGAGGAAAGGAGAGAGATAGAGAGAAACATCAATGAGAGAGAAACATCGTTGATCGACTGCCTCCTGCACACCCCCTACTGGGGATTGAGCCCAAAACCCAGGCATGAGCCCCAACGGGAATTGAACCAGTGCCCTCTTGGTTCATGGGTTGACTCTCAATCACTGAGCCACACTGGCCAGGAAACACCCTCAACTTTAAGAAGAGTCATGTGCGCCCTCTAGTTCTGGAGACCCCGCTTATAGCCAGCAAAATGGTCTTGGACAACAGCCTTCCAGACACATTTGTTGTCAGAAGACCTGTTCCCAGCAAGGCTCCTCAAGCTCCAAGATGGCAGAAAGAGTAAAGGCCATCTAATTTAGGTGAAACATGAATACTGATAACTAAAATACAAGTGTATGTGTTTTGAAATGGCAGGCCATTTCAAATTTCATGCTAAGGGGATTTTTTTGTTGTTGTTTCAAATTCCACTTTTTCCTTGACAAACAGTCTGGGCATTCAGACTTATATCATCACTTACTGTATGTCATTAAATCTCATCTTCAGTTTCCTAAGTTGTTTTCAATTATAGCATGGGAGGCAATACATGGTGTTTAATGCAGGTTCTTAAGTCAGCCAGATCTAGATTTAAACCCAGCCTGGCACTTACTAGCTACATGACCTTGGATAAGTCCCACTCTGGACAAGACACATTCTGTTTCTCAGTAATCATTTGTAAGATGGTGATAAGCTTAATCTTAAGGTTGCTATGAGGAGGAAATGATAATTCTGGTAAGATTTCTGAATCATCAAAAGCTCTCAACATTTTTTGGCGTTAATTTAAATTATTAGTTACTTCTCATGCCAGTTAACTTCCACTAAAACTCCAGAAACTGGTGGTTATTTTTATCTATAAGACTACCCAGTTAAAATGTGCTTTATCTACCTCAAAGGAAATGATTGCAGAACACACAAAAATGTGAATAGACAATAGAAGTTTACGTACTAGGAATCTCATGCTGAAGTATGCAGTTCATACGGTAGTATGCACAATGGCGGCAGTTACTAGCACATAAGACAGGAGTTGATGCAGACAGCAGACTCTTGAACTGCTAGTTTTTAATACTACCATGAAAAAAATAACATAAAACATGATGGGAAAGGCAAGTATGTAAATGGTTAGAATTATCTTTCAAGGCTGATAAAAGTAAAACTTTCAATAAAGTTCTCACATTATACTAATATTCAGCTGATGAAACAGGCAATAAAAGTAAACTAGTGTTAAAAAGGTAGCATAGCATTCCAAGTTAATGCTTCCCTGAATTTAAAAAGGGCATTGGAGGGATAATCTTGAGATGTAAGTAATTTTTTAAAGTTTGGGATTTTCAGTAGCTTAAGAGAGATGACAAAATAGGATGCCAAATACACAGTTGTATAATTAGCATCACGGAGTAAAAACCCCCATTTAATACACAGGTGACTCATGAGCTAAATTAATGATTAATAAAATACATGCACCTGGAATTAGAAATGACATTTAAAAAACTCCCAATACACAAAGTCAATACAGTTCTCAATGCAAATGTTTTACTTTTGAAAATATTAACAAAGATATTTCACTCATAGCTGCAGAACACTAGACCACTGAATAAATCATGAATAGTAACACAGGAAAACAGTTCTAGCTATTTTGTAAAGCATTTAGTAATGATGCCCATCATGTTTTATGATATTGAGGTCACTTCTGAATGAGAAATACAATAGCAATTCTCCAATCTCTAGACACAGCAATTTAAAACTCCATTTTGTGCAAGGCTCTTACCACTAACAAGGCACTATCGTCAGTGTGTTGAGACCTTCTGGATGGGAAGGGACACTGGAGAGGTGGAGAAAATGAAGCAATGTCAAAAACAAACTGCACGCACGCGACATATTTCACAAATACAACAAGAAGAGAGACATATTAAGACATTTGTGAAGATGCCAACATGTAGGACTGCATTCAATATCATTTGGAATTCACATACCATAATAGCTAATAAGTTGGTTCTGAGTATGATTTTCTTCCAAAGAGCTTAAACAGCTTCAAATATGATCTTATTGCCTATAAACTTTCTAAAGCAACAAGGGAACAGAGATTACTTATTCTTTGTCCACAGAAGAGAAAGCTGAAGCATAGATGGAGCAGTAACATAAAGAATTTGTCATTTAGTGAGCCAGTGAAAAATAAAAACAATAAACTCAACAGTCATGATTTCTAGTCTAGGTACTTCTCTAGTACCTTTCTCAGACAAAACAAGAATATAACTGGAAGTTTTTGAACTGTTATTTTCCTGAGAAGCTTTAATTTTTAGATAATGCATTCTCCAGAATGACCATCAAGAAGGAAATGTGGGGTGAAAAAAGGAAGAGTGTGTTAACTAATGTGTACAAGTATAATCAATAACATACACACTTAGGAAATGAGCAATAAAGCTGAAAATACTACATAATCTTCTTTTGTTTAATACTGACACCATTCAGTATGCCGGATAACCCTCTCTGGACTCTCACTACGTGATGTGCTTCGAAAGCGGCTGAGGAAGATAATACCTCTGGTGGGGATGGAGAAGGGAATAAGTATCTCCAGATGGATGTGTACAACTTTAAAATTCCCTGATCTACTATTTCTGATAAATTCCCTGGCTTGTGTCTTCTTCCCCCCAGTAAATAGAATTTTGTGAGGGAAAAAGAAAAAATGGCAATATTTTGATCACTGAAAACACATGATAATCAAATGCCAAACATTTCATTTCCATTGCAATAAAAAATTCCAAAGTAAAGGTGATTACAGACTTACCTCGCCATCTAAAAGGGGTTGTTGTTTTTGCGGACTGTGTGATGCTTTCTGCTACAGACCCCCCAAGCCCCCCCAAAAAAGGGAAGTTAATTAGAATCAGGAACAGGAAAAGTGATAAATTTTATTTACTAAAATAATCATATTAATTTCTGTATCTCTTGTGCATAACATTTTTCTACATTTACTGGTTAGAAGATATTGCTCTTTCCCTTAAATAGCTTACAACTGAAACAAGGAAAGGCAATAAAATGACAAACAGTATTTTCATGTCTCTAAGAATCTACAAATAGAAATTTTAAAACCTGCTTTTTATATATGCATGCATACAAACACATTCACAAAGTAGTGATCTCTCACTGAAATAATTCTCTTTCTCTAATGGCTTCAGATATCACTCTAATGCTAACAGCTTTAGCTCTCATCTATCAGCAAATTTCATACTGGTGTTTCAACCGCCTGTAGACACTCTCTACTTGAAAACCCCACTCTCACTTCATGTTCAACACATCCAAAAACAAACTCACAATTTCCCAAACCAACTGGCTCTTTTTCCCAATTTGCTAATTTCTGTTTATTATGACAAATAACAGTATTACAACATCTGTACAGTCAGTGCTTTACAATATGTTCTTATGTACAGTATCTCTCAAGTGATTCTTTTTACTCTTTGAGATAAACATAATCATTTAAAGATGAGAAAACTGAAGATGAGAGGTTATGTGATATATGCAAGGGTGCAAAGTTTTAAGTAGCAAAGCTGAGATTTGCACCTATGTCTTCTGACTCCAAATCCTATTCTTTCCACAATGCTAGACTCCTATTAAAACCATTTCTTTAGCCTCAAAATCTTGCTTTGGGGACTCCCTCACCCTCATCTTCAACGATTTAGTCGATTTAGTCAACATTCACTACACATCTCTGTACAAGACATAATGATGCTTCTCTTGGAATCTCATAATTTTAAAAATCAACTGTGGTGGGAGGGTGTGTAGCACTCACTATAATAGTAAAAGTATGAGATGTATAAAAATGCATACAACAGCACTTAGGACATAGTATAAGTTATTTACATAGTATAAGTTATTTACCATTATTATTTACTGAGAGTCAGTATAGCATTGTGGTCATAGAGCCAGCCTTTTTTTAGAAACTTTCTTTTCCATCAACCTTATTTCCATTTTCTGTTCAAGCTGTCTTGATTAGAATTTCTGCTCTGCCACAGACTAGCTGAGTATTTAACCTTAGGCAAATTGTCATCCTCTCTGAGCATCAGAGATCAGCATCATTATAGGCTGATACATTTGAGAAGAGAAAAAAAAAGAATTTATCATGTGTATGGTACTTAAAGATCTTCTTTGGCTAGAGTTAAGAAACACAGGAGAGAAAGCATTTGGAGGACACGAGTGATTCAGTCATTCAATCATTCATTTAACAAATATTTATTGAGGTTTACTATAGGCTAAGACCTGCTCAGATCTAGGGATACAGGAGTGAATAAACAAGACAGATGTGGTCCCTGTCTTCATGGAATTTACAGCTAAATAGGAGAGACAGATATTAAACAAACAAAAATACAAACAATTACTTATGAAAAAAATCCAAAGTGATTTCAGAACAGTAAGCAATACAGGCAAAAAAAATGAACCAGGTTTAGAAGCAACTATAGGGGTTGTAAAATGTTAGAAAAAGAAAAAAAGAAGTATTTACAAGAGTTGTTAATTGAGCAGGCACGGAGAGAACAGAAAGTAAAGAATCAAAGATGACTCCAAAGAGGCCTGTGAGTCTCACAAATTTTTGGTATTTGGTAGAGTGAGGAAGTTGGAGACAGGTTAGATAACAGTTTATATTTGCATGGTACTTTAACTTTCATAATATCACTGATCTTTACTAATGCACCAGAGATTGAGAAAATAGCAGCTGGACAATTAAGTGATTGCTAATTAAGAGGAAGAAAGTACTGTCCTAAGAGCAAGATCATAACTTCTGATTGTCCTCAGGCTTATCTATACGAGGACAATTAGTCTAATCACAAGTAGGAGACAGTTACACTATTTACTCAAGATTCCTTATATGAGGGGGGAAAAGTTGACATTTTAATTAAGACGATAAAAACTGACAGCCTCAGCAAAACAAATAAGCACTTCTAAGAAACCTCAGGAATATCACTGAATGTTTCAAAGGCTCACCTTGCTGAAGTCCAGGCCAGCCTCTCTCTGGCTCTGCTTGGTCCTAATTTTCTCCTCCTCGTACTGCAGGGCAGCAAGCTGCGCCTCCCTCCGGGTGCGCTCCACTAACTGCTCTCTTCTCCGGTGAAGCTCTAAGTCCGCATGCGACAGCTGAAACAAAGGCCAATGTGCGGATGCAGTGGGGACAAAGATCCACTTATCCATTTAGGGAACTACTACTGGCCCAACTTGTACTTTGCAGTCACCTAACATTTCTTTAAATATGTTTATTGTTATTTTTTTCTCATTTTTGCACTGTGTTCTTATATGTACTATAAAGCCATCATGTGGGTCAAGATTTATTTTCTGTCTGGTATCTAAAAACACGGTTAGCAAGTATCAGGTATACACGTTATAGTAACTGTATGACTGAGGAGACAGGTAGTGAAGTTTACAGATATCTGGCAATTAACAGTAATTTAAGTATTATAAAAGAAGAAAACCATCTTAGTTAAAAAAAAAAAAAATCAAAACTAAAACAGAAATTTTTTTTACCTGATTGTGACTTGGTGATAGTGACAAGAAAGAAGATGGCTCAACTGGAACCCTGACCCAAAGAAAAAAAAGGAAGAAAAAAAAACCTCTTTGATAAGAGAAACAGATATATAAAAGATAAGTGAAACTTCATTGTTAATGTTGCTTTCTATTAATCAACAGGCAAACTGTCTAGTCAGTACTGAAAGACTAAATAAATTTTGCAAACTTGAGCCCAAGTCATTAAATTAAGCTACAGGAATACCTGATGTTTCCAACTCATGTTTCACATGATGCTATCACTGATGAAGCTATAGACAGCTAACAACTGTCTGTGATCAGCCAGAGCTGACAATAGTTATTTGAGATCAGTTTTCGAACAGTATAATTTCTTTATAGCACAAATAACTGTTATCTTCTTTACAACCATGATTGAAATGACACATGTAAATGGAGATCGTTTTATATACAAAGTCATTTATCAACAGAAATCTGGAACCCTACAGAACCTGGTAACTGTACTTGGTAAAGCACTCCTGCTCCCATTTTCAACTGATGGAGCAATTTTAAGAACAAAAGTAAAGACACTGTTGGTTTTTATTTTTAACAAAATGATGAAATCTGATTTGATTCTTTAAAAAATAGTAAAACTTGCCTCTCAGTTTTATCAGTGTTAATTCTTATAGTTTGGTATTTATCTTTTTCCTGAACTGGATTTAGTGTTTCAAGTCTCTGTAACTCATCTGTGTCTTTAAAACTAACAATCTTGCAACAGTGACTTTTTGACATTTAGGACCTGAAATTTTAAACTATGATTATTAACCAAATGTTTTTTAATTCTATATTGCTTCTAATAGAAATTAACAAACTTCACAAGACCTAGCCTGATACTATCATCTCTCCTGAACTAAAATGACATTCAGTTTTAAATAAACTCTTAAAAAAAAAAATTATAACTTTTGTTAGTTTTAACTTTATATTTATGTAATCCATCTTGGCAAATAACTATAAAATACCGAACAATTTATCATAATTTATCCCCCTACCTCTATTATCCCCAGGAAAGTAGTGTCTATGTGTGTGTGTAAGGGGTAGGTGGGGAGCAATGCACATGGTGGGTGAGGGGAAGGAGAATTAGGAGGAAAAAGTAAGCAACTTTTCTTTTCAGCAATGACTAATGGGCAAGTAGCAGTTTGTTAAACTAACTCAATTCCTTTGAGTCTTTGTAACTGGAGAACTGATATTTTGGGTAAGAAAGGTCTTGGTAGCCTGAGAGTTGTAAGTCATTATTAGGTAATTTTGTTTTTCTAGGTTCTAATTAATAATTTCATTTGAATATAAGCTCTAGGAGGACAGGAACTTTGAATACAGTTCACAGCTATTTCCCAATACCTAGAAAACTACTTGGCACACAGAAGTGGCACACAGATATTGAACAAATATCTAACTAAACAAATGAAATACAGTTGACACTTGAACAATGTGGTGGTTAGGAGAACCAACCCCTACCACCTCACAGTCAAAAATCCACACATAACTTTTGACACCCCAAAAACTCAGTTGTCCCTTGGTATCCCTGGGAAATTGGTTCCAGCTCCCACCCCTGCGATACCAATATCCACAGATGCTCATGTTACCTATATAAAATGGCATAGATCAATGCATGAAGTTGGTTCTCCACATCTGTGGACTCCCAACCGTGGATAAAAAACAGTACAGGTATTTATTGAAAAAAATTCACGGATAAGTGGACCTGTGTAGTTCAAACCTCTGTTTTTCAAGGGTTAACTGTATGCATTGATCTGAGAGTTTAACTGGTTACTGAGCTCCTATTCAAAGACTACATTAAGGTCTGGTGATTTGAAACACCCACTTGAAAGTACAGCTGGCCCTCTGTATCTGCGGGTTCTGCACCAGGATTCAACCAACATTTTAAATCCACGGTTGGTTGAAGCCCCTGATGTAGAACTCAGGGATACAGAGAGCCAACTCAGACTTGCACGTTTTGGAATCCAAAGCGGTCCTGGGACGAATCTCCTATGGATAATGAGGACCACCTGTAATCATGGCTTCAGTTTCTAGCACTGTGGTAGGTTAAACACTCTGAATAATTTTTCCAATAACAACTAAAATGTTGAATAAAATAATATTTTAAAATCCACTGCTAAAGTGCCATGAAAATAAAGAATTCACAGATTCTAAAAAGAAGTGAAAACAGGGATTCTGGATTAAGGTTTGATAGGCCGATATTTGGCCCCTATGATCTCCACATGTGGTGTTACTCCAATGAATACATTACAGTCAAAATGACTTTGCAGATGAAATTAAGGTTACTCATCCGCTGACTTTAAAATGGGGAGATTACCCAGATGGGCCTAATATAATCACATGGGCCCTTAAAAGAAGAAGAGGAAAGCAACAGATTCCACTGTGGATGCAGTGGAAAGGGAAATCAGAGAGATTCGAAATGTGAGAAGGATTTGGCCCACCAATGCTGGATTGATATAGAAGGAGCCATGAACCAAGGAATGTGGGTGAACTCTAGAAGCTGAAAATGACTCCCAGCTGATGGCCAACAAGGTAAAGGGCACCTCAGTCTGTAACTGCATGGAACTGAACTCTGCCAGCAACCTGTATAAGTCTGGAAGGGGATTCTCCCCCAGGGTCTCCAGACAAGAATCCAGGCCAGCCAACACCTTGACTTCAGCTTTTCAAAACTAAGCAGAGAACCAAGGAAATCCTGTCAAGATTTCTATCCAGCAGAATTGTGATATAATAAATGGATGTGTTTTAAGCTGCTAAATTTGTGGTAATTTGTTACATAAGCATTAGAAACTAATACATAAGGCAACTGAGCAAAAAAAGCTGACTTTTTCCTTGAGGGTTTCTACTAAATCCTGGCGAACTTGAGCTTTACTTATGATAAATGTAGGAACCAAGAGGGCCAGGAGATAGAGCCTAGGTCCACCCAAAGTGGGAAAATGTAATAGGAAATCCCTGAATGAAACTGGAATTTCAGAAGACCACACCGTCACTATAAGTAGACATGGCAACTAAAAAGCCATTTTGAGATAAACTTCAAAGATACAAAACTTAACTAAATAACTATGAATTGACTGATAAGACTATAAAAGGCCAAGTTACAAATTTCTTTAATTATCCTCCCATTTTCTTTATCCATCTATATCTCAGTCCCCAAACAACTATAATATCCTGTCAAGTATAAGTAAAGAACTATATATGACACTTCTACATAAAAAAGATACTATTGTTTAAGAATACGCATGTCAAATCTACTGCTTTAAGAGTTCATAAAAACAGAGGACGCAAAAAAAAAACCAAAGGCTGGGAATTTCATTTAGCTCTCTTTATGCATAAATCCAGACTATAGCACTATAAAATCTCATTAAGTATCTTCAAATCACTGTTTAGGTAATGCTTTAGGTGATCTGAATTTCAAGTCAATAAGTCAATTTTACTTGTTTTGTTATTACATGAGCATAAAGGCACATTACCACTCAGCTCTAAATACAGTATCTAAAACACACAGTATGTAAATGTCTTCATTATACATAGACCTATACAAAACTAAAATCATTTCATGCTTTTTATTGAGTGTTAAGATAGAAACAAATGAATAGAATTGGTTTTTCAAACCTGTTTTGATGTGAATATCTTCTTATGTCTTCTGTTTTTTGAAACTCCCTCATGGGTACTGGCTTTACTGGTGAACTCTACATCAAAAAAGCAGAAATACATCAGTTTAACATATATATCCAGAACAGTGTGATTACACAGTTTACATTGAACTTAACGTTTAGAAATACGTATATTACACTAAAAAAATATTGTAACAGACTCTTCAAATGTGAATTTTTATGTTTAAAGCATTATACACTCTTACTGCTTTGGTAAACACAAAACCTCATAATCCAAAACTGTTTATTTTCAAAAAAGTAGATCTCCATCTCACTGTATTATATAAATTATAGTGGCCATCCAGTATAAATGAATGATAAGATGTTAGAGTTGGAAAGGATCTTAGAGGTCACCGAGTATAAACTTCCATCTAGAACAGAATTCCTACCTACCCTACCTTGACTTTTACTCAGCTCCTCTTGAGTATTTCTAGTAATAAAGGGCTCGCTGGGCAGATCACATTTCTTTACTTCATCATCACAAACTGTTACTCATGTTAGTCATACATATAATCCTGAGGATGTTGGTGGGATAGCAAGATAAAGAAAAAAGTAATTTCTTTTTATAGTAAAGTAATAATTAAAATAGAAATACTGGCAATTTAATTTATTTATAAACTAAAGAGTAAAGGTCATTTCAAAAAGTATTATTGAGGAAAATTAAAACTGACTTAAGTGATATGGACCACATACTGAAAAATAAAATTATAAATCAAAGGTAGAAGCTTGCAGGTTATCACAGCATATATTTTGTCAAATGAAAATCTATAGAAACAATACAATCTTATTTCAACAACAAAAATAATCATTAAAATGTATACTGTTGAAGGGAAAGAAAACAACTTATCTAAAAAGTGTATCTAAAAGTCAAATGTAAAACTAGTTATAATCTAGCTCCAAGAAATAGGTACATCACACATAACTAGAAAATCTTTGGTGAGTTATTCCAAAGGACTGAAGCTGACTCCCTTAAAGTCTGGGAATGAGGATTATATAAAATGAGATAGAATTTTAGAATCCTGATGAAAGAATAATTATTCTAATTTCGGTAAACAAAAATCTCTCCTAGTATGTTAACATCAGTGACTTATCACCCTGTTTTACACTACAATTATCTGAAATTATTGCAAGAGGCAGATAAAATTTTCACAACAAAATGAATGTGTCGTTGGTGTAATTAAAAAAGTCATATTCTATTTTATCATAATACTTCTATGTATGTGAGAAGTATTATAATAAAATTATAATGTTTAAAATCTCAAACAGATTAGTTTTTTTAACAACCCATTTTCAGATAGTATTCAAATACATAAAAAAAAATTTCTGCACTGGTTATTAAACCATCTAAAATAATACTGCTTCATCATATTTAAGAAAAAAAATTTTTATTTTTTAAAATATATCTTTATTGATTTCAGAGAGAGGAAGGGAGAGGGAGAGAGAGATAGAAACATCAGTGATGAGAGAGTTGTCATTGATCAGCTGCTTCCTGTATGCCCCCGACTGGCGATTGAGCCCACAACCCGGGCATGTGCCCTGACCGGGAATCGAACCACGATCTCCTGGATCCTAGGTCGATGCTCAACCGCTGAGCCATGCCTGGCCGGGCGAAAAAAATATTTTAATATGTTTTTCTTTTAAATTGATTTGAGAGAGAGAAGGGAGAGGGAGAGGGAAACACTAATGGGAGAGAGAAATATCGATCAGTTGCCTCCCGTACATACCACGACAGGGACTGAACCTGTAACCTGGGTATGTGCCCTGACTGGGAATAGAACCATCAACCTTCTGGTGCATGGGACAACACTCAACCAACTGAACCACACTGGCCAGGGCTGCTTCGTCATATTTTTATAGATGCCAAATTTTAGAAAGCCTTATGACACAGAAGTCATAAAGAGCCTTATGACATAAAGACTACCATACATAATAGGTAACAAGAATTACAAACATATTACAAACTGCCAATATAATGGAATAATGTGATACTATAGTTTTTCACCAGTAGAATAGGCATTATCACTTTTAGTAGAAATGCCTCATTTATACAGTCTAATCAACCATAAAATGATTAGAGAGACCATAAGAAGAAAAATTATTCCTTTTAAGATTATATTGTGCATTGTTAATTTTAACTTTATTGCAAAGCAGTTGCTGTAGCAGGAATGTTTACAGCCTGAACCACAAGTGGTTTCATTAATCACCTGGTACACACTGCTGTCTCTGGGTTGCAGGACTATGATTTATATAACTTTATCCAACTTTAAACATAAGAGTGTCTTCTGAACACTAACAAAAAATATTGCATTCAAAAGCCTTCAGATAGGAAAGTCAAAGGATTTTTTAGAATGATAATATCACTCCCTAACATGTCCCACCTGAAGTGATTATTCTCTATTTCATCATTTTCCAAAAAGGCCCAAGTGTTTCTCAATAACCCCCGCTCAAGAACCTGGGACCAACATCAAACATTAACAAACTACACACTGAAGTGGAGCCATTTTATTATGCTGACTGGATATGTTGAAGAATGCTATTTCTACTTGAGATCCATGGGGGACTGGCAGAGATTCGGCAGTGGACTGAATGTCCATTTGTTTTATAAGGCAACTCAATGCTCCACTATAAGAGACACCCAAGAATTTTATTGGCAAACAATTTATATTCTGTATGACTAAGCATAAAAGCTCCAACATAATTAAGCTCATTATAAAAATTCTATGGTTGTTTGCATGTTGCTCCAAAAGTCATCAGTTTGGTCAATTCTTAGGTTCTGATCAAATTGATTTATCAGTATGCAACAATAAAAATGCAGTAAGAACAACAATGAAAAGCATCATATTCCTTTGCATTTTCTTCAAAGGCACAGTATATTCTTAGGACTCCTTTAATTCCTTTTTTCAAAATTCTAAAGTGTCTTTTTATTTGAAAAATAAACCAAAACCCTATTTGAGACTACTGTCTGATTTTTAAAAATGAATCTGAAAAATTCAGTAATGAAATTGGAACTGAACATAATAAAACAAAAAATTAGGCCTAAACCAACAAGTCACTGATATGACAGAAACTGATACTACCATAAACTATCTTTACTAGGGGACAGCAGCAGAGTTAGGCTTAGATGTGGCACTACCTCGTGGGAGACCCGCCGCTGCTCGATGTACGCCATGAACTGCGAGCTGAGGCTGGCCACGTCCGGGCCCCGGGGCGGCCTCGCCTCGTCCTCGTCGTCCTCCGCGGCGCAGCTGTCAATGTAGTCGATCTGATCCAGGTCATGCTCCACTGTCCACAGCACACACACCAGAAAGAACATTCACATTAGCAGCTAAGGAGAGACAACAAATCGCATTCTTCCCTTTTCCCTAACATTTTCTATTCTGAAAGTGGAAGAAAAGTTTCAATTATGTAAGCCTTTAGTAGTTAGTCCACGGCCACTCACGAGAACATGCTCCAGAGAAATCTCAGTCCTAATTCACTAAACCACAGTGATTGATGATAACTATTAGAATACAGACCTCTATTATTTCTTTTTTTCTTCGATAGCTCTTTACTGTTTTAAGTAAGACAGTCTGAGTTTGTGAGACAAAGAAAGAATAATTTTTAAGTATCAGGTACATCTTCTTTGAGGTTCTTTCCCCATGTTTTAGATTTGGGGTGTAATCATCTCTCTCTTTGAAGAGGTGGGGGGCAGAAAACCTAGCACAACCAACTCAAAAGAAAAGAGAAAGGGTACAAGGAAAGTGAACTTGGAGATAAAGAAATAGATACTAACTACTGTTTCCCTTTCCTGTAACTGTTATCCTAACTAGAACAAAGATTTTCTATTTAAAAAATTATTTTCTAGATATTTTGTAGCAGTTTGTGGACAGAAGAAAATCATTTGGGGTGAGAAGCATACCAATAAGATATAAAACCACATAATTATTTCTTCTAATAAGTTTGGGAGTGCCCCATTATTTTTAACTTTAGAAAGTAACCATTTTAAAAAGCCAGTTAAAATGGCACACTAAAACAGACAAACAAACAAAAAAACAACTTGCTTAGTTACTAAGATGGTTTCTCCGGAGATGTATTAAACCCCAGCTATTACTGTCTGATGTTCTATAGGCTGCCTAAAAGTTGCCGATTCTGGAAACAGTGAATTTGAAGTCTACTCCTCAATTTAGTTTTCTGATTCAATTATTTCTAAATAATTCCATAATTGCAGTTAATACAAAAATACACTTTGAGTTACCAGAGCTACAGTAATAGGTGAAAGGATGAAAAGGTCTACACCCACATTAGAAACCAGGTAATAAATGCATTTTTTCCCCAATGTGCTACAACTTGTGTGACTAAAGAAATAATTCATTTTATGACTACTTCCCAAGAAAGCAACATCATTTTTCATACTATCTTCACCAACACTGTCCAAGAGAAATAGAATGTAAGCCACAAAAGTAAATCACATACATAATTTTAAATTATCTAGTAGCCAAATTTTAAAAAGTCAAAAGAAAAGGTGACTAATGTTAATAAACTTTATTCCGTCTAATATATCGAAAGTATTACCATTACTACATATAACCAATATAAAATATTATTAATATTTTATACTTTTTTTCATGCAAAGTCTTCAGAAGTCTGATGTTTTACACTTTTGGTACATCTCCATTCAGAAAAGCCACATTTCAAATATTCAAGAACCACATGTGGCTAGTGCCTACCATATTGGACAGCATAGATACAGATATTTTTAAGTCTGAAATGGAATGAGAAAGATTATCTCATATACAAGCAAGATTAAAAAGAAAACTTATGAAATATGAATGAAATGATAAGTGACAGGAGTAAAAAAAGAACATAAGATGGTAGGAAAAAAAGATAGCAAATCACTTAATTGAAATCATGATTCAGAGATGAAAGCTCTTCTCAGATAATAGAATAGATTTCTGGAAAATCAAAGTCCTTTTTTCCTTATAGCTAACCCTCAAAATTTAAAAATTCAAACTAAAGCAATATTGAGTAGAATACTAAAATCAAGAGTCTGCCTCAGAAGCACAAGGAACCAAAACGAGTTCTGTTTGTTAATGAACTATAAAAACAATTATACAATTTTTAAAAATTTAAATAAAAAAATTTAAAATATCAGAATAAAGAAAACTCAGATTCAGATGCCCTAAAAGAGCACAATTCAGATGAAAAAATGGTAATGAAGAACAGCACTGAATTCCTAAAAGAGGTCAAATAATGACCACAAAAAGAATCTTTAAGAAGGAGACTAGTACTTCAAAAGAAGAGCCTGGTTAAATTAAGATTAACAGCGTTTGGCACAGTGGTTAAAGCGCCGGCCTGGGTTTGATTCCGGCCAAGGGCATGTACCTTGGTTGCAGGCTCCATCCCCGGCCCTGGCCAGGGTGTGTGGGAGGCAATCAGTCAACGTGTCTCTCTCACATCAGTGTTTCTTTCTCTCTCTTTTTTTTCTCTCTCTGCCCCTTCAACTCTCTTTGAAAAGCAATGGAAAAAATATCCACGGGTAAAGACAAAAAAAAAAAAAAAAAAAAAAAAAAAAAAAAAAAATTT